TGAACTCAAACAATGATGCATCTGGACCAAACTTGGCACGAATACTCAATATGCCCAAATGTGAACACTGGTAGAGTTTGGGGGAAATAGGCATTGACATTTGGGAGGTGTAGTTGCTGGGATGTATAGTTCACCTACAATTAAAACGCATGCCTTCTGAACCCCATCAATGATAGAATTGGGCCAAACTTCCCACACAGAACCCCCATGACCAACAGAAAATGCTGAGTTTTCTGATGGTCTTTGGCAACCCCTCCAGGGGTCCCGACCCCCAGGTTGAGAAACACTGTTCTAATGGGAGAATTCATAGAATCATAGAATCATAGAATCAAAGAGTTGGAAGAGACCTCATGGGCCATCCAGTCCAACCCCCTGCCAAGAAGCAGGAATATTGCATTCACATCACCCCTGACAAATGGCCATCCAGCCTCTGCTTAAAATCTTCCAAAGAAGGAGCCTCCACCACACTCCGGGGCAGAGAGTTCCACTGCTGAACGGCTCTCACAGTCAGGAAGTTCTTCCTCATGTTCAGATGGAATCTCCTCTCTTGTAGTTTGAAGCCATTCCTCCATTGCGTTGTAGTCTCCAGGGAAGCAGAAAACAAGCTTGCTCCCTCCTCCCTGTGGCTTCCTCTTACATATTTATACATGGCTATCATATCTCCTCTCAGCCTTCTCTTCTTCAGGCCCCAAAACAAACAATGCCTTTCTCAAGCAACCCGGGGATCGCTGGGTCCCCAAGCTAGTCTTTAAAATAAAAAAAAACTCAGTTCTTGACTGAGCTTTGCCCCCATTTCATTTCCCGATTATGTTCTGCCTTGTGTGCCTTGAGTCTGATTGAGAAGTGACTGGAATGGGCCAACTTGGGCCCTCCCTCCAGGTGTGTTGCACTTCAACTCCCACCATGCCTCACAGCCTCAGGTCCCTTCCATTCCCTTCCTTTTTGCTTAAGCGGTTGAGGGGGGAAAGGGAGAGGCCTGTGGGAGTTGAAGTCCAAAACACCTGGAGGGCCCAAGTTGGTCCATGCTTGCTCGGTATATACTTTTAGCCGCCTTGGGTCCCTATTTTCGGGGAAAGGCGGGATTTAAAAAGCAAGGGTAAAGAGAGTGGGGAGCAGAACCAAGGCAGCTTACCCTCCGGGGGGTCCCCCTTCGCCCAGCCCAGCAGCAGCAGGAGGGGCAAGAGCAGCCGCCCTTTCATGGCCGCCCCGAGGAAGAGAAGCCGTCGAAAGTGAAAGGGAAAAGGCTCAAGGAAAGGGCGGCCCTTCGTGAAGTCATAGTCCAGAA